TATGCTGTCCATCAGAAATTAACACAACATTGTAAACCAACTATATTTCGATTAAAAAAAAAAAGAACATGCAGACTGTGGAAGGCAGAGGTTGTTGGGTACAAACCCTTCTGCTCCAAGTGAGGAAATGGTCCAGGGGATCTCAGCCTGCCTTCTCTGAGTTGGTTTTTTTCTGGTAAAAATCGATCTAGTATCACTTCAAATATGCTTGGTTCCATAAAACACAAAATTCCATGGGACTATCCTTCATTAGGCAGGCACTCAACAGGAGCCCCAAATATGAAGTTAGCTGGGTTGTCCCTTATTCTATGACAGCATACGTGTTACAGTTCAGCATAAGCAGATTGAGTAATTTTATTTGAAACATTCAGGATTTCCTTTCCAGAAATAATGTGTTCACTAAACACATAAATACATTTTTTTAAATGAATCTAAGCGAGAACGCATTTAGGGCTGTTAGAATTTGTCAGTCCATTTCTTTTTTTTTTCAAAAACCCAAATTATGTATCTACTGACCTGTGACCTCAGTAACATGTTCATTTAAAATACAAGATGATCTATATAACATTGTAACTGAACACATGAGGAAAGAAGCAGTGCCCCACTGCTTCAGACAAGACTTGCAGGTTTGCAGGGTTTATTTTTAGAAGCAAAAGTGCCTGGCAATTTCATTTAAGCACAACAATTCAAACATTTGTTCCACTTCACTCTGATAAGATGTCATTCCATTCTACTTCTCTCATTTTATTTCACTATTTGATTATCCTTCCAAATTGATTTTCCTATAGGTAGAAATTAGGAAATTGAGGAGAAAGTATATTTAAAAAATAAAGCAAAACTAATTTTTAAATTCATTTCTTCTTGATGAAAATTTTAAAAAAGAAAATATGGGGTAGTTATACATACTATCAATTAAGGGGAAAAAAATGTCTGGACCCTTCTTGTGAATAAAACTGTGTGGGCAACAAATTTACATCCTTTGTAGTCAAAGCCTCATTTTCCTCTTTCTTCAGTTTCTCTTATCCTTGGCACTCACACGCTCCCTTTTTTTTGTCACCCTTGTTAAAGTGTCAGGAAAGCTTGAGATGCTCATTTATACTACAGTGTCATTGGTTGATATCTTCTGTAAATGCTATCTCACTTAAAGGTACTGGCAATTTAAAAAGAATCAGAAGATGAAGCCAAAGGTGTTTAGTGATGAGTGAGATGGCAGGTGGAAGATTTACCTGGACTACAGCCTTGTGAAGCTCACCCCAGAGATATTCATTGTGGACATGGTGCCTAGCTTGCCTGCTTCTGCAGATCTGGCAGCTTTGAGCACTGGCTAGCACATGGACACCTTGCCTGGGGCATCTGAAGGCAGGTGCTCAGATACACTGATGACAGCATGCCCAGCGGGGCTGGGAGCAGCTTCTGTTTCCCAAACACTTTTCGAAGACTTGGGTTCCTGGAAGTCACGCTGAGAGGGCTGACTGCCCCTCTGTACACTTTTCTTCTCTGCGACTTCCAGGCGGGCTGCGGTGTATCTGCTCGTGGCCATGCCTGACACAGCCATACAGAGGGCGAAAGAACCCCACGCGAGGCTGTCAACAAAAGGCACAATTAGGAGACAGTGCAGGGCTATGACTCCAGGGCTTCCTGCTGGGAGTCAGTCTGGTGAAAAGTCAGCTCCTGGTTCTACCCAATTTGGACACGGATTTTGGATTGCAAATCTCAGAGATCAGCCCATGTGTTGTTGGAGGGGTTGTGCTGACAGTTAAGAGGCTGGATCCTGGAGTCGCTGCGCTGAGTATGCTCTGTGGGTTTGCACCATCCCTCACTAGTTGTGCGACCTTGAGCCCGTGACCTCACCTTTCTGCATCAGTTTCCTCATCTGCAAAACAGGAACAGTGGTGCTGCACCCTCGGTGGTTGTGAGGAACTCAATGAGTTAATGTGTGGGACTCTCTCAGCATAGTATCTGCTAACGTATGTGTTACTTTCTGTTGTTGTGGCCGCTGATCCAGGACACCGGCACTGGGGTATTGCTCTTTTTACATTTCTATCCTCCGGAAGCCTGTTGCATTCTGAGTTGGCAGTCTCCACTTTTCATTTTCACAGAACCCAGAAGAGTGGTTGCCGAGAAAGAACCTCTCCAGACTGGCATTTGTGTGTGTTTTCATGGAGTGGAATTCCCGGGTGAAATAAATGGCTCCACAGCAATCTTCTACCAGAAAGCCGCGCAGGAGGTAAGCTCTAACCCCGCTCCACAGTTCCCAGTCATCCTTAAATATGACTTGACAACCAAGGATACCAAGATCTAGAAGAAAGGCCCAACAACAAACAGAAGGAAGAAAAAAGCATCTAAACAAAAGAGATAACACAAGAAACAGAAGAAAACAGCAACAAACTCTTTCATTAGTATCTTCAGAGACAGATGAGAAGATATTGCTTCCGTAAAGCAGGATCAGGGTATAGGAAAGAGGAACAACTAGAAAAAAAAGGAAGATCTCTTGGAAATTCAAATACAATTCAAAAGAAGAATTCAATAGAAAGGCTAGAAGACAAGTAGAAAATTTTCAGAAACACCAAAAAGAGACAGAGAAGATGTAAGGGATGTAGTCACATCCAGGTAATTAACCCAGGAGATCCAATGTCTATCTAAGAAGCGTTCTCTGAAAAGAGAACAGAAGACCGAGGAATGGGAATAATCGAAGAAATAATACAGGGAAAAATTCCCAGAATTCCAGGACATGAATATTCAGATCGAAGGACTCACCAAGCACATGAAAGAAGTAGGTGAATGTAAAGAAGATCCTCTTCAAGGTCCATTATCAGGACATTTCAGAACACCAGAAATAAAGGGTAGAAAACAGCAGATTACCTCTAACGGAACATGAATCAGAATGGTATTGGGCTCTTGAAGGAAACAATCAATTCTAGAAGGAGACAGAGCCACGTCTTCAAAATTCTAAGGGAAAATTATTTTCAACAAAGAATTTTATGCTCCACCAAACTATCAATCGAGATGCAGCATTAAACAAATAAATTTCCAGACATGCAAGGAGTGAAATAATTTACCTCTCGTTGAACCCTTGCTTTGG